TCATTCATTTTCCTACAGCTTAGTCCCTTTATTCATCAGGGGTCGCCACAGCGGAATGAACCGCCAACTATTCCAGCATATGTTTTACATAGTGGATACCCTTCCAGCCGCAACCCAGTACTGGGAAACACCCATACACACTCACTCACTCACACACACACACACACACACACACACACACACACACACACACACACACACACACACACACACACACACACACATACACTACGGACAAATTAGTTCATCAATTCCCCTATAGCGCATGTGTTTGGAATGTGGGGGAAACCGGAGCACCCGGAGGAAACCCACGCCAACATGTGGAGAACATGCAAACTCCACACAGAAATACCAACTGACCCAGCTGTAGTGCATGAGTGTATGTGTGTGAATGAGTGTCTATGGATGTTTTCCAGTACTGAGTTGCAGGTGGAAGGCCATCCACTGTGTAAAACATATGCTGGAATAGTTGGTGGTTCATTCCCCTGTGGCGACCCCTGATGAATAAAGGGACTAATACAAAGGAAAATGAATGAAATTAAATAAATTTAAAGAAGAGCCTCAAAATGAAGCACACAATCAGTATTTTTTTCTCTCATGAGTCTTTTATATTTATTTTATTTAACTTGTGATCAATAAAACATAATTAAGTTAAATTACATAATTTTATTATTTATATAATTTATTTTAACTATTCAATTGCATAAGAACGATGTATCTAATTTCGTTTTTAATAGAAAAAGAAAAAAGATTTTTCATTAATTACAGAAAAAAATGTAATTAAATAATTGTAAAAGTTAAAAGTAGTGTAATAATAATTTGTTAATCACACTCTCCGATTGTTATTGATATATGCAATATTTTAATATGGAATTAAATTTTATTTTTTACAGTTTTCTTATGAAATTTATTTTTTTTAGAAATAATTTAAGCAGACATTTAATTTAATTATTAGATTTTTTTATGTAATCTAAATTATTTTGATTTTATTAATCACACCCTCCTAGATTAATTATAAAATAATTATTTTGCAATTTAATTTAATTTAATTTAATTTAATTTAATTTAATTTAATTTAATTTAATTTAATTTATAAATTATACCTCTGTCTAAGACCTGCTGATTTCATGGAAACAAAATAAAGGTCCTAACCATGTGCAAAAGTAAACCAAAAAAGTAAACATTTCATATCTTTCTACAATAATTATTAAAAGTTTATTAATAATATTTCAATTTTTTACTAACAAATGGTTTTCATGAGTCCGAAAAACACAATAACTAACACACTTAAATAAGGTAAAACAACAGAATCATTCAAAAAGATTAGAATATATTTAAATAATTTATTTATATGCATTAATAAAATGCTAAACTTAAACTATATCATATGAATATAAATGTTTTTGTTTCAAATAATTGCATAGAATCAAGAAAAATGCAGAAGATATTTCAGGCACTGATATTCTCAATATACTTCATGTTTCCCTTCAGTTTGTTGCATATTATAAAAGATCCACGATCCACGGATCTGCCGCCGCTCTCCTGTCAAAACACATATGAATATAAAGATATAAACATTTGACCTTTAAGAAACAGATCATCATATAAATTATTCTGGTTGAGTTTGACTTTATGATAAATACGAACAGTATATGTGGAGATAATACTGTATTTCCAGATGAAACTGAATATTGAGTAGGGGCGGGGTTTATTACAATATGGTGATGCATTTCTGACTG